GAATTTGAATACTAAACCTATCTTATTTATCAAAAAGAAATTACCACATCGTAACACTATCCCAGGACAATTTTATCAAGATACACATGTTTAGAAAAGATATCATAGTACAGACCAAACTGTGTATGTCTTTGTTTGTTTGTTTGCAGTTAAGTAGAAAGCTACAAAATGGACTATCTGTACTGTGTCCATCATGGGTATCAAATCTTGGTTTTTAGCATTATAAGTCTGCAGACTTACTACTGTGCCATTGGGAGGGCACTGTTTATGTCAGCCATAATTTATGTGACAACGCTTATTGATTAAACTTTCAAAACATAATTTCAAAAAGAAGCAATTAACACTGTCTTTCTAATAATAGCACAAAGTAATTATTTACATAACATTACTTTAACAATCATATTACTGCATCATATTATCTTAAAAACCACCTAAATAATACTATGGATGTTATACCTATCAGAGCTTTGTTGAGCTCTTCAGACATGCTAATTATTTTTCTAGACTATTACCAATAATAGCTAATTATTAAAGTTAATGCAAATAAAAATAACAAAGTTATTAGAACTTTTGCTAGCACCAAATTAGGGGTTAATTTTTTCTCTGTTTTTAAAAATAAGCTGAAAACAAATAGTGACCCCCTTCAAAACCAGGTTTATAGATGTCATAAGATATCTTAGATTAAGGGTTAACTGGTAAAATCTAACTTGTCAGCAAGAAAAAAATCTAGCAATGTTTTGACAAATTATCTTTTAAATTTGGCAAAGTTTATATATACATATATATAACTAATTCATATTCACAACTTAGAAGCAATTTCAGTCGACATTCAAGGGAAGAATATACAAATTGTAGCTACATCGTAGTTATTCAAATGGGTAGTACTATGCACTTGTCATTTACAGATCTCAAAATACAAACTACAGTATAAAAACACGTACAATTTAGGAAATATGGACAATAAGTACAGCTTGAAATTACTTAAAATATTATATTAAAGCAGCAGTAATTGTACAGAATCAAAGTTAAAGTAACAAATTTATTAAACATTTTCTGTGAAACTTACAACAAACGAGAGGTCTGGAACAACAACATCACAGTTGGGAGTGATGATAGGTACATTTTCCAGTTTAAGGGTACCATCGTCTATCTCAATAACTATTCCTATAGAAACAAAACAAATATGTACATAACACAGTAACCGAATTATAAATGTACACTCAGAGCTCTAAATATTAACAAAGAACTTCATAAGATACCTACGTTAAATCTAATATGCAGAAAGTATAAAACAAAATATAAATAAAATAGCAATAAAGCAACCAAAAGCACAACATTTGTAGAGTGTGAGAAATCTGTTACTTAAAATTCACAGCAGAGAAAAAGACTAGAAATGTGAAACGATTCAGGCTCAGTTTCATTAGAATATAAGTGTTTCATAACTGAAATTATATTTTCATAATTAACTTACTGGGTAACAACTTACTTGTAAAAGAAAAATATTTTCAAACCAAGAAAACATTATTTTCATAAAATAAACATCTTAACCTGTCCTCATATTATAATTTTTCCATACGAGGTATCTGTGTGCAGTGAGCATATTTTCATATACTAACAAATTTAAACTCTGGAATGTATATTCTGTAGGCATATGTAGACTGTAAAGTATTTTTGATGTTAAATCTTTATTTATGTGAATAAAACACAAACTGACATCTTTGTCAGAATGATTTTGTTCTTATCCAAAATTATTGAGGATGAATGTACAAAATTACTGAAACCAAACAAAACTTGTGTGGCAATTTTCTTCATTTGATGAGTACTATCACACATACACATGCAAAGGTATGTACACAAATCTAATTACTCATGCTATGTGTCTCACATATGAAAGGCTATATTCAGACATGTGTTACCTACAAAAATGGATCAAGCAGAATAGTAATAGATCTTTAATTCGTTGTGATCATTCATGAAGCAAACAGAAAAGATGGCAGTCAAAGGCAATAAAATCAAATTGAAGACATTTCAATGTTATGAAAAATCAGAAATTATTGGATACAAAACTGTAGAAGGAGATGGGAGAATATAAGTGACAATCCTCACAGTTCTGACAAGGATCTTGTAGAGATCAAAGAAAAATCAAAATAAAATAAAAAACCTTTTAAACATAGTAGTGCTGTGTAACTTCTTTTTTATAGTTTTGGTTACTCTGCTAATATGCAAATATTCATAATGTTAAAGAGCTAACATTTTATTGCTGTTTCCCTTTCATAATGCACCACCTTAAGAAACAGTACAATTTTTTTTATGCAAATTCATTTGCACACATGAATCACCATACACATTTCTCACAAAAAAAACTTTTTTTTCAAGAAAAAAATAATACAGAGATCTTAACCTGTCCTCAAATTATAATTTTTCCATCTGAGGTATCCTTGTAACCCTCCCTCTGATCCCTTTCTAACAATTCAATATCCTTTTTAAGGTAAGAAGCCCAAAACTAAACACAGTACTCTAACTGTGGCCAAACCAATGACCTATACTGTTACATTATAACCTCTTTAAGCTTATTTAATATTTCTGTAAATACAACCTAAAATCCTACTTTTCCTGCCACTAGCAACAACACACAGTTTGGATGACTTAAGAGATTGATCAACCAGAATACCAAGATCATCATCTCTCATAACCTTGATAAGGTTATTACCATCGAAATTATACTTATAATTCAAATTGTGATCTCACATAAGCATTACCTTGTATTTATTATAACTAAAAGCCATCTGCCACTTATTCCCCCAACTCAGCAAATAATCCAAATCCTTTCACAAACAGCAACATTCAAAACTTTAATATCATCAGTATATATAAATAATTTATTGATCATTCCTTCATCAGTTACTTACATACATCAAAAAGAGCAAAGGTCCCAACAATGAGCCCTGTAGTGCCCCACTCGTGACATTAATCCAATTTGACTGAACTCCATTTATAAGAATCTTCTGTTTTATTCCATCTAGCCAGTTTTCTATCCAATGAGCCAACCTATACCCACAACTACATAAATATATATTTTTAAAAGCCTTTTATGTGGCACCTTGTCAAATGTATTCTGAAAATCCAGATACATCAAATCTACACCCATACTCTCATCTTTGTAAGAAATATCCTTTTCAAAGAATGTCAAAAGATGATTAAGGCAAGATCTTCTCCCAGTGAATTCATGTTGACTATCCAACAAAGTTTTAAACTTTGTTAAATGACTTTGCAAAGCCTATTTCATAAGATTTTCAAAAACATTTCCCACCACCAATGAAAAGAGGAGTAACCTTAGCCAACTTCTAATCCTCTATCACCTGTCCACTATTCAAGGACTTCCAAAAAATAATAGCAAGTGGCTCACATATCCAATTCTTAACATCCTTCAAAACCTCAAGTCAATATTACCTAGCCCACAAGCTTTATCATTCTTTATACATACCATTTATTTTTAACAAGATCAAAATTAATGTCATCATCTTGTTCAACCATGTATAAAATGCCGAGTCCGTATACTCATTTTCACTCATTAAGTATTTATACTATAAATTTGGCAGACTTTTTTGAAACATTACAAGTCTTTTGTACACAAAAATATCAGGTTTCTAGTGAAGTATTTTTACCAAAGATTTGTTTGTGAATATATCGAGTATGTTTTATTACTTGTCTGAGTGCAAAGTGATTTTCATGTTATGACTAAAAATACTATTCTTCATCCCAAACATCTCAAATTTCATTTGTGTAATCTCTAAAACCTCTTAAATGCATTTCAAATGCTTGTTTTAAGTAAAACTTTATATTTTGTCTGTTATTTTCTCTACCCTAACTCTATATAAGGTTGGTCAATTTGACTGACCTCATAACCAACAAAAACAATTCAAATACCTCTAAATTACCCTTATTTACTTTCTAGAATGACTTTAAATTGTAACATGAAATTACTTTTGTTTATCCTAAGTAGCTTTAAATTCTAAAGTTTAAATTATTCTTATTTATTTTCTAGAATGACTTTAAATTGTAACATGAAGCTACATTTGTTTATCCTAAATAGCTTTAAATTTGTAACAGTATAAAACTATTTATACTAAAATTTTATTGTTTTATGCTCTTTGAACTGTGTAACTACTATTTGCATCATCATAAGTTGTAAATCACTTGGGAACATGCGGCTCATGTTACATTGTCGAATTACATTACACACGAGTTACTCTGAGCTGCTCTTATGTGTGCCTTGTGAAAATTTATTATATTATTATCTATTTTATCTAATCTAACCTTAAATAATCTAAAAAGATTCCTATTCTTACATTTTAGTTACTTTTATTATAATAAATAAAGAATACACATGAAAAACAAGATATAAATTACTTAGCTGGACCTTCTTTTTTTCTTGCTGTTGACTGTCTATGACACTTTACCCTACTTTTTTCATACTAATAGTAGTACTGCACTAAATTCTTATTTAATTAAACAATGCACCAAAGAAAATGTCCCATAACTACCACAATTTTTCTGGCTTTCTAACTATGCAATAAGAGCCATTATAATTTCATCCAAGCTAGTTAATATGTTTCTCGTGGGAACAAAGCTTGTACTAAAAAAATAAATTAAACGTAAGAGGCTTTCTAACTATGCAATAAGAGCCATTATAATTTCATCCAAGCTAGTTAATATGTTTCTCGTGGGAACAAAGCTTGTACTAAAAAAATAAATTAAACGTAAGAGAGAGAACTATTAACAACTCCTAAAAGAGAAGATGTGACAATAGGGGTCTGATTTTCTATTTGATGGCTCTTTAACCAAATGAGATTGAAGATTATAAAAATTGCGCTTTGTCTGAGCGATGACGATTTTATAGTGAGTAATGTACATTAAATTTTATACTTATTGGAAGGGTGGTAAATAAATTACAGAAGAGGGGATGCCTAGAAAAAAAAAGTCACATTTCTCACACTAGAGGAAATTCAGGATTTTTTTTAATATTGCCTTATAAAATTAAGAACTTAAAACTTTTATACTATTAAGATATGGATTATTAGCTACAATTTTATGCTTTACTAATTGGTATAACATAAACACAGTAATTTAATTAAATTTTGAATGTAAGTCACTAAAAACCTCCTGATATGTGCAGTAAAGGATGCCCATGAAGAGAGGGTTAAATATTCATTTGTGAAAATTTAAGAAAAAAGTATATTCTAATAACCCAGCCATCCCATAATCATTAGGTATTAGCTTTCTTGTTTCATTTCTCAAAGGCCCTACTCCCATCCCAACATTTTGCTTACCCTTAATGTATTTAAAGAAATCCTTACTGCTAATTTTTACATTCTAGTCAACCTTTTTCACAGAGTTTTTGATTTCCAAATTTCTTGTTTGCTCTCTTGCTCTTCTATAATCCCAGAAGTTTTCCATCATTACAGTCAATTTAAACTTCTTAAATTTATAATACTTTACTTAATTTTATCCTTTTTTGTATCCTTTGCGAGCCAACCTGATTTTACTTGCAGCCACGCCTTTTTTTCTATAAGGAACATGCCTATCTTGAAAATGTAAGATTTATTTAAAAACATTTTACACATTTGATCAGTATCTCCAATTAATTCAAGTGCCACATTCACAGCAGATAATTCTTGCTTCATCCTTTCAAAATTTTTTCTGAAATTTGGAACCAAAACCTCATTACTTCTTATCTCCATTTGAAGCAAAACATCAAATCTAATTAAGCAATGATCACTTGTACCCAGATGTTCACCAATCTCTACCCTATCAACCATTATTATATTAGAATTTAACAATAACCAAGTAGATCCCTCAACAAATTGGTGAAGAAACCCATCCTGATCAGTTTCTAAAAAACCTGTCTCCTTCACAATTTGACTAACTTTTCCCAGTCTACATGTCTGAAATTAAAATCTCTCATAATTATAATCTCATTAAAAGTTCAATTCTTTATCTCACTCCAGAGTTTCTCATTAATATCATCAGTTTCATCTGGTGGTCTGTAACAGATTCCAACTAAAAGCCTTCTCTCCTTATAACCAATAAAAAAAAACTCAAAAATATTCAATCCCACTGCTGTTAGCTTTGATATCCTCAACTTGAACAGAATGTAACTCGCATTTTACACATAAAGCCACTCTTCCCCTCTATTTTATATATCTACCTGTATGTGTATTACATGAAATTTCCTCAATCTTCATTAGAAGATTGAGGAAACTTCACCATCACCAGTATTTGAAACTATATTTCATGCACATGTAAAGACATACCAATAATTACAAAATTTAATTACACTCTTTTGTATAATCTGTACAAAGTTATAATTTTGTGTACTGATAAAAAAGGTATCTTTTATATATATATGGAGATAATAGATTAATTTCATGGGAAACAAACCCTTAGCTTCTGGCATTCCATCCTTAAAAGTCAGTCCTTTTATCTTCAAAGATTTTTTCATATCTCTCTTGTTTAATGTGGCTAGAGTTCTTTGGTATTTGCCTTTACTAACTTCCTCAAATACTGTGAACATTTTGGACACACGAGATGTATATCCTGCCAACTCAGTGATCTAGAAGAAAAAATAATTCATTAAGAAAAATAGAGCATTAATACACAAGAGCGTGTAACTCTTTAAACTATAAGTTCTTTAAGTTCTAAACTGATTATTTGGTTGGTTTTTTCTCAGATATTTACACAAAGCTACTCAAGAGCTATCTGTGCTAACCATCCCTAATTTTGAAATGATAAACTAGAGGGAAGACAGCTAAAACACCCACTACCAACTTTTGGCTACTCTCTTTGTACAACTGAATAGTAAGATCTGACCATCACACTTATAATGCATGCAAGGCCCCAAAGTGCAGAGAAATATTTTATTTTGCAGTAATGGAACACAAACATTGTAAATGCAGATCCAAGTGTTTGAGTACTCAATAATTTCTCAACTGATATTCTTCTATACATTTCAGTACACTACAACAGAAACTTATCTCAAAATATTTAAAGCACTTATGTAAAAATCGTACAAGATACAATATTCTTAACCTCAGTGTTGTCACCTACATGAACCTTCTTAGTATTTGATAAAGATAAACTATACAGCAGTAAACACACAAATACCTCTTTATAGGAGGACATGAGCCTCTCTACAGCATCTGCTCCAGCAATCAAGATATTCTTTGCTGTTGTCATGTACTGTGTCCTTGTACTGACTCCATCATCTCCTTTGTATCCATCACCTATCAACATAAAAATTACTTTTTTCTATATCTTACTATTTGCCCATATTCAACCCACAGAATTAAGATTTTTAAATAAGAATGTAATTGCTTTCTTAAATATATATTGCAGAAGAGTTTGGCTGCAATTCAAGTGTCTAGGTATAAAATACGTATAAATATATTGTATAATAAAGTTGATCTTCAGTCATTAATACATAGTCAGTTTACAGAAATTAGCATTAATAATTATACATATGACAGAATTTATCACGACTGCAATGTAAAGTAGTCTAGCAATTTAACACATTAATCTTAATTGAACAGTTGAACAAATTACTACAAATTTTTTTTAAATATAAATGAAAGAAACATTTTAGAGACTTGATTAAAAGATGTATAGAATGCCTTAAATTGTGTGTACGAATACTAATTAACTAAATTCATTGGAAAATAACAGTTACTAATTTTGTTTCTTGAATTCTGAGAAAAGCTACTCAAGGGCTAACTGCACTAGATGTGCCTAATTTTGAAGTGATATACTAGAAGTAAGGCAGCTACCCTTTAACAACAAATAGTGGGATTGACTCACATTACACATTATAATGTACCCATGGTTGAAAAGGCAAGCATGTTCAGCAATTGTTTTCACCCTATGACTTGCAGATTGCAAGTCAAGTGCCCTAACCAGAAGGCCACTAACATACTAAGAAACAGTAAGTTAGCTACAATGTAACATTACAATAACAAGTAATGAGTCAAGTGTTTCATTTAAAATACCACGGTAATGAAAAGCATCAAAATGCAAGAATCTGATATCTGTGATGTATTTCTACTACCTTCAATTTTCTTCTCTGAAATGTACAGGAAATGTGATGAATATAATGCAGTATAAGGAGACTTGAACACCACTAACATTATGTCATGCAAAGAACCAGAGGCTATTACTATCTCATAGAGCAATCATTTATCTCTCTATTTATTATGATTTTGGTTACACGACAATGTGCAACCTAGGTAGAGTAGTGCATCCCTACTTTCAAACTACTGACCACAGGGAGGCACTGGTCAGCAGCAACTTATTGCTATATTTCATTATTTGATTTATTTATTTACTAATTCATTTATTTTTGATTTATTTAATTTGTTACTAACATCATGCATCTTTGTTTTTTTCACACTATGTTTCCAATGTAAGTAAGATTTGTAAGTAAGATTGCAGTCTGAATATAAAGAAACGAAGATCAAGACTTCTAACTACATCTCAAAATTAAAGCAGCAGAGCAAACAAGCATAAGCCCAGCCAAGCATCAACAACCTGAGATATATATAGCTGCATAAGCTAGGCAAATTAGATTTTATTCTAGCCTACTCATTTACTATGTAACATATCAGCTTAACACTTCAGCAACAGGGCAAACAAATGCAAGTCTAGTTTAGTCTTAATAGGTACTTAATATAAAATTTCACAAAGTAAAGTGATCCAAATTAACTACTGTATTCTCAAAATAACTAAAAATTAATTGAAATACTGATAAGAAACTTGGAAGAATATTACACAGGCTATTACTACATCTTCATTTTCAAGCACCCTCTCTTACAATACCTCAACTTATAATTCTAATTAACTTTTTGATTTTTAAGAATGGTAATGTGCCCATGCACAAAATATGTATGTATAGTATACTTACTCCTTTCATCTTTTTCAATACATATTCTGAACAAAAAAGGATTACTGCTTGCAAAGTAGTAAAATACTCATATCCTAGGCAATATTTAATGGCAAAATACTATGTATGCGTGATACTTCATCACAATAAAAACACATATATTAATATTAAATGTCATACTCCACAAGAATAAGCATTCTACAGCCTGTCTTGTTGTCTCATGAGTGATTGATATAAGTTGCATTTTAACTACACCTATGTATGTCGTAACCCAGAATATTTGATGAGCTATGGTGTTAAACTAAATGCAGCAGCAGTATATAACAAGCAAGGTATATTATTTATTAAGTAAGGTATAATTGAAATGCTATCGTAATTCTTTCTAAGAAGTTAATAGACAAAAATTGTAATTCAACTTACATTCACTCTTATTGTGATATAATACCACCATTAATGTAAATCTCAAAGTATTTTTTGTTTTTTGTTCAAAAAGTGGTTAATCTAAAACCGAAGTTAAATCTTAAAACTCAAACAATTGTTATACATATGTATCCTGTACATTAAATGCTGATAACACTTTGAAGTATTTCTGCTAAGTTTGTAAAAAAATATTTAGTTTGTGGATTTTTCTTATGTTAAATCATTAAACTTTTTAATTATTAGAGAAGAAATAAAATCACTTGTGATATTTCCCTCGATAATTATAAATAAAAGAGCATGTTTCAACAGACAGATCCTAGTTGTATGAAAATACTTATTAATCAGAATGTTCTACAAATGCACTTGTAGCAGAAAGCTGAACTAACTCACAAGTACCATCGATAAGTAGGAAACGATTCACAAAACCACAGACAAAATTCTATATACGCCTACACAAAAAATTGTATAGTAATCATTTGCTCTCATTTTTAGAAGATAAAGTTTTTAGATTAAAACACTTAGCATAAAACACACAGCTATATACACACATGCAATCAGTTTCAAAAGCTTACTTGAATAATAAACATGTACAACCTGCTATAAGGTGGATTAGCCACTTCAAAATCTAAAATGATAATCTGTAATATACATGTGTGTGGGTGAAAAAACTAACTCAAGGATTACTATATATTTCAAAATTATTATAGAAGTTTACTTTTTAACAGCACTCTATGGCTAAATCTCTCGCAGAGCGGTAAAACCGTGTGTATACAGCTCACATGTACAGCACGTTTAAACATGTACGTGACTATCTTTTTCTGTCTAACTGCAGTTTTGACAAATTTAACATACAGTACAATAACTCAAGGACACATATTATAAATTTTTTCAACATTATTACACAATTCACTTCTTAACAACATGCTGTAGCTGCTTCACTTAAAAAGCAGTAAAACCAAGTGTCAAGTTTACATGAACAGAGTACTGAACATGCACATGACCACATCTTTCTATTTCTCGACACAGGTTTTTTCTAATTACTAATTCTGATAAGTTTCACATACTTGTCTCGATGGTGTTGTTAGAATCTTGCAGTGGTTAAGAAATGTAGTTGATTTTTGTATTACTGACATATTGTGTACAGTATGTAATTTCACATTAATCTGATTTTCCATCAAACCATGAATATAAAAATGTGGTCATTAAAGTCCCTTATTAGCATTATAGTTTTCTTAGTAATAGCTTTTATAAACAACTATAGTTTAGTCCAATTTATACAAGACACATTTGGAAAGTTAGCACCTACCTCCTCTCACAAAAGGCTTTCTTTATTAGTACTGCCCTCTATCGGCCCATAATTTTTGATTGGCACTAGCCTTGTAACCTCCCCAATTCTTTCTGCATATCTACATGCAAATGATCATGCAGCAACCCTCAATCAATAGGAGTGCAACACTACCCCTATCTCATAACTAGCACCCTCTCTAATAATGCACGTGTTAATCACTTTGAGATCGGCTATGACAAAGTCAACCAATACACCAGAAGTGGGGAGGAGGGGGGTGGGATATTTGAGTGGAGGTAAGTATCTATTTCAGTTTAGAAAAATGTTAACTTCCGATACAATATCTTACCTCTCCCCACAAAAATCGCACATTGAACTGGTGGAGGGCCTGTGAGAAAATTATCCTCTTTCAGAAAGTGCTCAAAGAAAGACTATGTGTGGAAAATGAATTAGAAACATCACACCAGTGGGAGACCACACCACTTGTGAGCCAGGTATATCCTTCACCCTTGAGTAAAGTGTCACTAAAATGAAAGGGTAGAAACACAGATGGACCCCAAAATGGTTTCTTCTTTAGTGGTATCTGGCAGCATCTGGAATTGTACATCAGTTCTATGGTAGGAAGAGAGTTTTTTCCTTTCATCTTAAAAAGGGGTACTGGGAGAGAAGACTCTCTTCCGTATCAAGAACCCGTATCTGCATGTGTACATCTCCAACACAACCAGCACTGAATCCACTGGTAACTGACATCCAGTGGATGGTAGGAAGGAAGGAGAGCTCAGGAGGCATTCATCTCAGGTCCAAAACTTGGCAACATTGCAAATATCTCATATAGTCTGCAGTAGGAGCAGGAGACCCAGCCTTACAAATGTGGGGATTCACGTGTTCTGTCCAGCTTCAACTAGTAACCCAAGAACTAATATTAGTTTAAAAATAACAGTTTCAAAAACTACTTAAAAATCATATTATGCTGAAATACCAGACACATGCACCAAAACAAAACAGAGAATATACGGAACTGAATGAAATGTTAATCTTTATCTATTTACTCATTTAACAACAACTTGGTCCACACACGAAATTTTATATGAAAAAGAAACTTCTGACCAAACATTTGTTTAATCATGCTGGGTGCCAATATAATGAAACAAAAATAGTAAGAAATCTGCCATGCTGAGGCTTGACCCAGAAACTTCAGTTCATGTTGATGTTCTACTCTACTATTTAAACTACCAAGAATCAAGTTCAAAATAAATAATTCCCTCATTCTGATCATCACATTATTAGATATACATATCTCTTTTTCTCACATAAGCTTACCTACTTAACAACACCTCTAAATATGACCATATATTACTAAGAAATCTGTTATACTCCAACATACATACTTATAAAAATTTTAGAAATCATTTTACAACAATAGCAATGAAACAGCTACAATGGAAATGTGTAAATGAACCATAATAATGATTAACACACAAGAATAAGAAAATTCAAATTAACAAAAGGTAATTTGACACACGAAAGTAACCTTTTAATCAACATCAAAACCATTTAAATATCAAATCTAAATTACATTTAGTCTTTCACATTCACACATCTATCCAGGAAAGTTTAAAACAATTCATTCTAATGTCACAAAGAGTAGTAGCAAGTCATGTTTATCCACTTCACAGACTGAGCTGAACAGACTGCAAGCAAACATTAATGTCAAAATCCATAAATCCAGATAATGTTTTCAATAAAAACAATTTGCAGGCCAGAAGATTAGAGAAACAAGTTTAAGATATAAAAAAGTCAGACACAACTTTTGTTAAGGTAGTGTTACTTTTCTAATAGTGTGGTCAGCCTATGGACTAGCTTACCTTCATTTGTGGTACTGTAAAAGTTACAACATTAGGAGATTAGTTGAGTGTCTCAGAAGTTCAGAGTTGAATGCACAAGATAAAGAGTTTCTGTGGATTGGGTTAAGATAATACGAAAAAGTGAGACAGTCTAAGTGGGCTAAATGGCTCCTTGTTATCCCTTAGAAATGAAACTGACATAGGAAGTTATACCTGAATACTACTTTAAAAAAGGCCTATTAACACTGTTAACAGAGCAACATTAATTGAAATGAAATTAGCAGAAGGACAGGACTGCACACTATTTTTTTAGATAAAATGTGAAAGCTACTGAATTCATAACAAGCTAATAATAATAATTTAAAGGGTTCTGTAATTTTGTTTCTAAATTACAAATTGCAATGTGACTGGAAGCACATGTATTTAGGTGTAAATTTGATTAAAACACTCTATCACCAATATCATGCACCCCGTGTATATATAATAACTCCAATTAAAATTAATAACTTTAATGAGTATATATATATATATTAATTGAGACAAGAACAGACATAAGCAGCATTTCCTGAGGGTGTTATTTCATTGTTTCCAAGATACTCATGTAAACTATATTTCAATCACTTGTACAGACTAACCTGACTTTGACAAATGCATGATGAATTATACCAGTGGTTTAGAATGTAATAGAAATTTTGGTGTGTTATAATATATATATATATATATATACCTATTTATATACAAGTGTACATGCATTTTATATTAATAGGCTATAATAAAATTTGAAAAAACATACCAATCCTTCTTTCTTTTCTATTAGAATATTAAAATACTCTTTGAATTAATAATTTGTATTTAAAAATTCCTGAAAAAGCTACAAGTAGGTACACGTACTTGTACTTTTTAAGACTACATTTGCACACACAATGTACTAAACTAGAGGCCAGAGTAGCATGAATGCTCAGCATACAAAAAAAATACAATTTATAGAACACAATTGGCATTACTTTAATTATTGTACTTTCAATAAAAAATAGTTTATGAGTCTATTTTTAGCACTTTACTCAACAGTAAGAAAAATAATACATATTGTATCAAACTTTCTATGGTTAGACAAGTTACCATTTTCTTGCTGCTGATTTCCAGTTAAAACTGGTAAAGAAATGATGATCATTCCCACAGCACTCCAACAGTATTTCATAAGGAACTGTTCCAGCATGACATAACAAAGTCGTTTGTTGAAGATCAGATTCATCTGTCTGGCAAGAGATCTGTAGCTTCGCTGGAGTATATTTAGTTCAACCTTTTCAAGAATTACATATTTGTCATCAATTTTATGATTAAAAGTATTACATACAAAAAACTAATGTTTGAAGTTCTAGAAATACTCCATAGATTTTAGTAATAAATGAGGTACAAAACAGTTAAGAATAGTATATAAAAAAATAGTTAAAATATGTCAGTGTTTTACCATCAGCACAAGACAATTACATTACAGCACATTTGTTGATAATTTATGTTATAGAAATAGAAATCAGAATAAGTGGTTGGCAAAAATAAACAGATCATAAAGATCTTCATTTGGTATATTACTTCAAGTGTGTTTCACTAATGATACATTCAAGAGCTAATTTTATAACTTTATGAATAGGTACTTGCACATGTAATACACTTTAATATATCCAACTTACTCATGACAAAGACTGAAATCATTGCCTTAAACTCAGCTTTACAACCACCACAAGTCAGATTATACTACTGTATGTGAATGACACATTAAAAGATAATAACAATGCAATGGAAGTCAATGAATTTTTTAACCATATTAACTGCATCCATCTCTTGAAAAAATTTACCAAAGAATCTAGATGTAATCAACAACTTTTCTCTCTTGGTGTTCATCCCACCAACACTAATTTAATTATCCTTTGGAATTAACTCGTACCATGATTCCACCTTAGAGCTAGCCTTTATAAAAATGCATACATCAAATGCAAACCTTGTTACAAATGCATAAGGCCTGTGAAAAGTGCTTATATCTATTTCATGCCATAATTGTTTTTTCTCATCATCAACTGACAGAACAGTAATTTTACACATTAAGCAAACAACCTGATGAAAACCACATTAATTTTATCCTGTAGTTTTAGTACCATTTTTACAAAACACAAAGCTTTAAGTTTCATCAGCAGGTTGACAGCAGAAAACAAGAGGCCAAACTTAGACACTAAATCTTTAATTTTTTTATGTATATTCTTTATTTATTGTTTTAAAAGTAACAAAAATATAAAAATCAGAAACTTAAGAGATTAAATAAAAAAAAAAACAAAATGAAAAAGCTAAATAACAAAATATAAATTTCTCAGCAAAGTCTGCATGCGAGCTTCTCATGAAATATGTAGTTCATTTATGTAACTTGAGATATGAGGTCACTGCACAATTTTATTTTATGAAGAATTTGTATTATAAGATATAAATAAAATAGTTGTGAAAAGGACAGATAACTGAATATTTTAGAATAAATCATTGTAATTTTCTGTTACAATCTGCAGTCATTCTAGACAGAAAAAAAAAAAGAGTACTTTACATATATTTTGTATTTTTTTGTTGTGGGTTTTATTTGTCTATTTATTATTTAGCACAAAGTTACATAATGGACTATCTGTACTGTATCCACCACTTGTATCAAAACACAGTTTTTAGTGTTATAAGCCTTTAGAATTCCTACTGAGCCACTAAAAGGCTTTTGTGGTGGTTACATTAGGTTGTTCAAATGGACAAGTCTGAAAAGTATTAGGGCTAAGAAAGTAATAGATAAAATATAAAGTCTTAATGAAAAAACCTTTTGATATTCATTTAGGGAGTTCTAAAGATTGTGAAAATAAAATTTAAAAACTATATGATGAAAAAAGTATTTTAATTTTTTTTTATAAATTGGTTTGGCAGAGTATTCATGATGAAATTTAGTTGAATGGACAGCAACTGCCTGTTGTAGAAACACAAGTGTAGAGGACAACGTTTCAAGTCTTCTGCCTTTTGTCTGAAGACAAAAATCAGAATTTTGAAACGTTGTCCTCTACATTTATGTTTCTACAAGAGGCAGTTGCTGTCCATTCAACTAAATTTAATTATTTTTAATTTTAGTATCACCGTGCACTCAGACTAGTCAGAGTCTGACTCCAAAAATTCAGAGACATATCTTCAGTAAAGGTACTTAATTAAGGAATCTGATTTTTTGTGTAAAAGTTGTGTAAAAGTTGCCAAATGTTGTGAAGATACATTTACTATATTAAAAGTTACAGTATGTATACTTTCATAGTTACCTGGTGGTTGTGATATTCATCAAAATCAATGAGCCCATATGGAGATAGTTTAGAAAGGTATAGCAATATTATACAACTTTGACCCAAAACTGAGTGGCAGCTAAAGTATGAGCTTATTAAAAACATGGGTGTTAACAACTTGTTTTCAATTAATCTTGATAGACATCTGATGTAGATTAAATTATTACACAATTTTAAAATCTTAAAATAACATGTAAAATTCAATGAACCTTCTAGATATACTTTAAAACCAAGTAAAAAAACTTTCATCTTAACATTCTTATAAATATTCACATGTTAACCAAAATGACACAATATATAGATTAAACTGTCAATACTGTCCAATGGATATACTGATTAAAATGTAGAGGTTTCATTAAAATAACAACTTTGCCCTCCTTTATATGTTTTTAATCATCACAATGTTACATGAAATAATAACAAATAATGCTCAGATGAACCAATAAAAATAAAATAGAAGAATATAAATAATTATACTTTACTGATCAAACAACTTAAATTTTCTATGAATAAATATCCTGGTATCACACTCTATGCCACCTATTTTAATTCTCCCTTTCTCTGTACATGTACACACACCTTTGTTAATGTCATTGTCTGGTTCTGATGATGCCATATTAATGCAGATGAAATAACAAAATTTTTAACTACATAATGGGCTATATGTGCTTTGCCCACTGTTGCATATTGAGAATTTGAAACAATCCAAAGCCGCATTAAATAATTTAACTTTTAATAGTTGAACTGCACCCTGGATTTAGTGTTTAGAAATATGCCGATATTTTATTTATGTTATTTGCCAACAAGATTGTTTCACACCGTTTTTGTTTTTGACACAAATATGTTTTAATATATACATATATATATATATATA